AGGGACGGGGGTGCAGACAAGGGACGGGGGTGCAGACAAGGGACGGGGGTGCAGACGAGTGACGGGGGTACAGACGAGGGGTGAAGGGTGCAGACAAGGGACGGGGGTGCAGACGAGGGACGGGGGTGCAGACAAGGGGCGAAGGGGGCAGACGAGGGACAGGGGTACAGACAAGGGATGGGGGTGCAGACGAGGGACAGGGGGCAGATGAGGGCTGAGGAGGGCAGAAGAGCGACAGGGAGGGTAGATGACAGATGGGGGGCAGACAAGGGGCATGGGGGCAGACGAGGGACGGGGGGCAGATGAGGGCTGAGGAGGGCAGAAGAGCGACAGGGAAGGTAGATGACAGACGGGGGGCAAAGGGGGCAGACGAGGGACAGGGAGGGCAGTGTGGAAGCCGGCAGAGCCAGAGGAAGTGATGTGTGGCTGGTGGCACTCAGCTCGGGCAACCCCACCAGGCCCTCTGACCCAGCAAGGTCGCTGCAGAAACTCGTGCTATTTCGCTGGGTCCAGCCTCACCTGCTAGGTCATGGCATCCCAGCACAGACAGCCCGACTGCCTTGGGTTCAGAGGCCACTGCGGACTCTTCTGGAATTCCCCTTCCTCTTACACTCTTGAGCTGGCTGCTGTGGACACTGAGCCCATATGCGCAGGGCAGTCCCTGACACAGGCTTCAGATCTGCCCACAGGGGGAGGAGTGGACCCCGGGGAACCCTCGCCAGCATTTCTCCAGTCACCCCACCTGCGCTGTTCTGCCTTTAAGAATGCATGATAGGGGCCTGTCCCGTGGCGCAGGGATTAAGTGCGCGTGCTCCACCGCTGGCAGCCCGGGTTCGGATCCTGGGCGTGCACCAACGCACCGCTTGTCAGGCCACGCTGTGGCGGCGTCCCATATAAAGTGGAGGAAGATGGACACGGATGTTGGCCCAGGGCCGGTCTTCCTCAGCAAAAAGAGGAGGACTGGCATGGATGTTAGCTCAGGGCTGATGTTCCTCACACAAAAAATAAATAAATAAAAATGCCTGAGAGCAGGGAAATGGACACAGACCATCGACTGTTTAGGGCTGGGGGACGGGGGGACAGGGCGGCAACAGTTAAAGAGTCTGGGTTTCTTTTCAGGGGGATGGAAATGTTCTGAAGTGACTGGTGACGGCTGCACGTGTCTGTGAATGAGCTAAATGCCATTCCTGTGTATCCTTCAAAGAGGTGAGGGTACGGGATGTGGATCCTCTCCCAATAAAACTGTTTAAAGAAACGATACAACAGCGAAACCACACTAGTGGGTGCCAGGGGCTGGGAGAGGGGATGCGGGGAAGGCTGATTGGCCCGGGCCTAGCATTTGGGGTAATGCAATGCTCTGGAACTAGAGTGGTGATGGTTGTACAATGTTGTGAATGTGCTAAAACCGCTGAATTGTACACTTTTAAAGGGTGAATTATACGGAAAGTGAATTACATCTCCATTTTTAAAGGTTCTGCAGATCTGTATTGACGCAGGAAGATGTCCCTGAAGTTTCACTGAAGGAAAAACACCTGGATTTAATAAAACTGCACGTATAGAAAACAAGCAAGCACTGTAGGCCTTTCTCTGGCGGCAGGCCAACCCCGGGGGTGCAGACAGTGTGCTGGAAGCCCCAGACGGGCTGGGACGGAGGACGGCTCTGGGCTGGGCCCTGTCAATGGTCCAGGAGCCTAAGGCCCGAGGAGATACCCCAGGGGCTGATGCGCGGCCTTGGCGACCTTCCTTCTCCACACCCAAGCTCTGCGTCCAAGGAAGGGGCTGCCGTGGGGGCCTCGAGGTCGGGGGAGGCCCCACAGTGAGGCCACAGGCTGTGGCCCCTCAGCCTGCTGCCCAGGGAAGGGGTCCTCCTGCGTCTCCTACGTGCAGTTCTATTTCTAACACGAGACCATGGGGAGAAGTCCCCTGTGTTCCACACACCCCAAAGGACCACCCCCCCAGTCAGGGGGTAACTCCCCGTCTGGAGCGGGGACACTATTTTCACATAGAAAACCCCCGGCTGCCACCTCCCATTTCACCCCATGTCCCCGTGACAACAGACCCCGGGAGCAAAGCTGGAGGCCCGGGGCCTCATGTTGGGGGGTGGCCCCCAGGTGACGGTTCAGGGGTCACTCCACCTCTCCCGTATGACAGTTATCCACGATCACACTCGCTTCCTGCCACTCTGGATGAGGCAATGGAGGCCTGCACGTCCCCCAAGGCAGGGCCGGGACCCAGGGCCAGGTGGGCCTGCCCTCTGGATTAAGAGAAAATCTCCTGTTTCTGCTCCTGCCCAGCCTCCTGGTTGGGCAGGGGGCTCCCGCAGGCGGTGAGGGACCCATATTCCAGAAAACACCATCAGGTCCATATCATATCCCCCCAGACTTCCTGCCCACTGGGAGGGAAGCTGACACCCACCCGCCTGCTGGGTCACTCAGGCCAGAGCCCTGGGAGTAGTGCTGGACCCCGTGCCCCCTTATCTCCCGTCTCAGGCCCTCACCTCTCAATGGAGCCGGAGAAAACCTGAAATCGCAGCTCTCCAGCCCATTTGGAGCTTCCCCCTGCTTTTCCCCTCCGCCAGACCCCCACGCTCGGGGCTGAGGCCCTGAGAGGCCCCCGAGCAGGTGGAGAGACGATGATCTCGGGGCGCTCCAGGAGCCCTCAGCCTCCCAGGCCTCTGCACCAGCCTGGACCACCTCCCCGCTCCACTGTCAGGGCTCATCTGTCACCTCCTCCTAGAAACCCTCCCTGATGGCCCCAATCTCATCAGGCACCCCCCTTATCAGCCCCCACAGACCCCTGCACCTCTCAGCATGCGTCACCACTTAGAACAGGGTGACGGCTGGTGCATCAGCTGTCACCTAGGAGGGGAGGGCCCAGGGCTCACTCCCGGCTGAAGGACCAGGACCGGGCAATGCCAGACACCCAGCAGGTGCTGCAGAGACTAAAAAGACAGGGACCGGCTTCAGTCTTTAGATCCAAAAGGAAGAGACCAGCACACAAGGCCGCGTGGAATGAAACAAGGCAGGCGGTTCCTGGCCTGAGGGCTCCCTGTTCTGACCGAGGAGGACAGAACTCGGAGAATTTAGGTTTTCTAAAGCGCCAGCAGGGAGCGACCTCACAGAGGGTGGCAGTGAAGGGGAATGGACACACGTGTCCCCGAGACACTGCCTGCAATGTCACTTTCAGTGACTGAGATTACAGAGTCCCGGCCAACTGCTGTACCCACTTGGGGGCCCCCAGTCTGGCTCCCCATCGCTGCCCTGCACTTCTCGGAAACCGGAACCCAAGCACGTCCTGTGGCTGTCCCTTCCCTGCTCGCTTCCCCCACTCCTCCCAAAACAGGGCTAGCAAAGCCCACGGGGCCCCGGTGCCGGGTGGATGAAGCGCGGTCCTGCCTCTCTGCGGGGGCACCCAGCCAGTCTCTGGGCCCACGACGCGCCGCACACCCCCCAGCACCCGCTGGCACTCAACACGTGGCAGGTGCCCCACACGCTTTCTTTTCACCAGGGTCCCCGAAGCAAAGGGGAAGGAGCCATCAAACCTGGCGCAGAAACAAAAGAATCTTCCACCAATCAGGGAAAAAAAAAAAAAAAGGAAGGGAGAAGGCAAACAGCAGGTGGCCGACTGTCCGGGGCTGAGCTGCGTACCGCCCCCTCACTCTTTGTTCCTCAGAAGGAAACCTGCCACCCCTCCCCGGCCAAGGGCAGCTCCTCCTTTCAATTTGGGGAGAAGGGGCTCTTAAAGCCTCAGACTCCAGGAACGTCCACGCAGAGACCAGCGTGTCCTTAGCTCGGTGCTTCGGTCCCCAATCTCTCCGACCGGAGGGGACACGACCCCGGTGATGGCGCTCTCGGAATGTTCCCACGGACGGAGGAGGGAAAGCCCCGGCCACCCTGGGAAAGGCCCGGGAACCCGCATTCCTAGACACGCCCTCCCCGACCCCCCAGAGCGAACCCTGCTCCCCGAAACTACCCGCCTCGGGGCGCGCGCGGCCCCGGGAGCGCCCCACGCGGAGCAAAGGGACAGCCCAGCCCCCACCCCCGCCTCCCAGCGGCGTCTGGCCCTCGCCCGGCGCCCCTCGCCCCGCCGGCAGCTTGGCCACGGCTGCCGAACAAAGGCCGCCACCAACCCGAGGCCAGACCGAGCGCCATGCGGCCGCGCCGGGGAC